GGTGTGCTGCTTCCATGTGGGCTTTGTTGCTTCTGGGCTAGATGGCCGCTTGTTTACTTTCAAGCCTTTAAGTCCCCAGACGCTATAGGTCTCGCCGGGCACCATCAGCCTTCTTCACCACACTTACTTATGCACACATTCGTCTTCAGCGTTTATGTGGAAGGTGGTCCTACAATGATGGTTTTTGTTCTTTGGTGTCTGCTGCCTGTTCCCTTCAACACTTCGTGGAAACCTATTTTATTAACTGCTTCATTAACATAGAAGGGAGAACAATCTTTATATTGCCTTTTGTATAAGGAATGCACTTTTCAAGACACCTCAAGCCTCTTATGTAAATTTATTATTATTTTTTTTTTAGATTTTTTTTGTCAGAGAAAAATTGCAGCCTGAAAGGTGAAGGTCCTTTTTACAACTTGCACAAATGCCGTTTGCCTTCTAAGACAGAGTTTTGTGGCTGCCACCCAGTAAGAAGTCACTCACGAGCCTGTGTTGCAAGTCAGCTACCCTGAAGTGGTCCTAGAATCGGTGCTCCTTGAGTGTTGTGAGAACTATTAGCAAACTTAGAAATAAAATAAATAAATAAATTAAAAAAGAAAACTTATACATAACCTTCAGAATTCCAGTAGAACTTTCTGTGATAATAGGAATATGGGTGTTGAGCACTTGAAGTAGGACTAGTAGATTGAAATATGTTTTTAATGAAAGTTTAAGTAATGGCTGTTTAAGTCTCTTTTTGTGGCTAGTGCCTATGTTATTGGAAGGAACAGGGTGCTGAAAGAGTGCACATTAAATAGTTTCTGCTCTCAGAGGTTAATGGCAGACTATGATGCTAAGAAGTCACTAAGTCAATAGTATATGCAAAAATATTACAGAAGAAAACCAGAATGATGAAGGTAGGTTCATTATGAATTCATTATGAATGCAGATTCATTACTAGCTGCTTGCTTGCTTGCTTGCTGCTTACTTCTGTCTCCACCTAGGCAGCTGAGAGGCCTCTCAAAAGTCAGTTATGTTCAAAATAGCCATTCCATTCTCCCTGCACCCCCAGCTTCTTGTCCCCTTCCAACTCTTTGTCTGCAAAACCAGAGTGGTTTTTAAAAAACAACAACAAAACAACAAAAAAACATTTTTGCTGGGCCATAGTGTATAATAAATTCAACCCATTTAAGTATACAGTTGTTGAGTTTTGACAGTCATGTAACCACCACAGTTGAAGAGAAATATTTCCGTTACTCCAAGAGGTTCCATTGTGCCCTATTATGGATTAGAAATTGTCCTCCAAAATGTGTTGTCTTAACCTCTGTGCCTGTGAGTATCATCCCATTGGGGAGTAGCTTGTCCTTTTTGGTGTTGGTTTGAGATAATAAAAAAAAAATAGATTGAACAAACGAGCATGCAAGCAAAAATGGGGAAAGGGAGATGCCAGGCCGCTTGAAGATGCCAAGCAGCAGCTCAAACAAGCCAAGGGCCTACCTCCAGAGCCCACAGTAAAAGCCTTTCTCTGAATTGTGAAAATAAATGACTTTGTTAAGCCCTCCCATTTGTAGTACTTCTGTAATAATAGCACCAGCTAACTAAGAGACATCCCTTCCTCAACCCCTCAAAACCTATGAGGAGATTTCTGTAACAGATGAAATTATATAATGTATATTTGAGTCTGACTTCTTTCACTTATCCTACTGCTTTCTTTTTTAAAAATCATTTTATTGGGTTAAACAAGCGGCCATCTAGCTCAGAAGCAACAAAGCCCACATGGAAGAAGCACACCAGCCTGTGTGATCACCAGGTGTCTAAGGGAATCAGGTATCAGGCATCAAAGATCGAAAAATCAAATCATTTTGAATGAGGGAGAATGCAAATTGGGGACCCAAGACCCATCTGTAGGCAAGTGGACCCTTACAGAAGGGTCA